CATACATAGGTTGTCTTCTGATGTTGATGTTCCAGTAAGAAATTCACCCAGAGGAAGTATATGTATTTTTAAAGAAAGACCAAAAAATAAATCCTATGGTAATGTCACATAAGAATTTAATTCTGTAATTATACAGAATGTGTCCCTAGATATATATTTATTTCTGTAATGATGTATCTGAATTATACTATTTAACATCAAACTACGTAAGAATAGAAATATATTAGTAGTAACCTTGTTTTTTTCTTTTTCTCGTTATCAGATACCTCACGTTGAAATACCTTTTTTTGTGGAACTATATGAAGTAACTTCTGGAGCAGCAATAAACAGTAGTGCCAGATTTGCACAGATTAAAATCTTGCAGCGTGATGAACCTCGAAGCCTCATGTATTTCTCTGTGGGTTCTCGGCTGGCAGTGGCTCACAAGAAGGCCACTTTAATCAGTTTGGAGGTGGCCAGAGATTCTGGGACAGGACTAATGATGTCTGTTAACTTTAGTACCCAGGTAAATATGGAATACATATTCACACTTGTTAAGGTTTTCTTTAACTGTAGAAAATGTAATGAAACAGAGAATAATTCATTTGTTATTTTTGAAGAATACCATCAAAATTCACATTTTATTTATTACGTTAAGCTTTATTCTTCAAATAGCTCAGTTTTTCACTCATCAGTAACAGGTAGATCATGTTTTAAAATGATAGACTTTTCTATTTTTCTTTCTTTTATCAAGGTTGATTATACAATCTTTCATAAATCTGTTCTATAAAATCTTTAGGGAGTGAAAATTTCTTCAGAATGTAGCTGTATAAGACCAGAAGCAAAAAAAGTAAGGCTCGAGTTTTGGTTTACATCTGAACTAGTTGAAAATTTTCTTCTTCAGAACCTCTAACACTAACTGATCTTTACGTTTCTTAAAATCTATGAGTTCATGAGGCCTTACTGCCACTTTTTCACGTCCATCCTGTTAGGTGACATCAGATAAAAGACAGGGGGCAGGTGGGTAGGTGGGACCTCAGAAGAGCAATGCTACATAACGCTCAGTGGCCAAATACTGGGCTTGGCCCAAACAACACCATATACCTTTTCAGCATTATTTTTTACTTTGCTTTGTCAGTGAAACGCTAATATAACAAAACAAAAATGTGTATCTGTTTAAAGCATGATTGTGAAGATTGTGCTTGCCCACCTTAGCCCTCTCTTTATTTCCCTCTCAACTCCTATAACTTCAGGAAACTCACAATTTGAAAATCACCATTCTGGACAGTGCTTCCATTTCCCCTGTTTCACGATTCCAAACCTCGTGACTCTTTAAGCCTCAAGTTTACAATGTTTTATTAAAAGTCCAGTTTAGTATGTGCTTAGTTGTGTCACTATTGGGTGGCTCAAAAAAATAGAACATTCTGTGCACAAAATACAAATATATGTATGGCCAATATGTTGTAGCAATCGTGTGAATCAGAGACGTGAGGATAAGTCTAGAGCTTTGGGTAGCAAGCTGTCCTGGAAGTTGGCCAGACAGAAAAACTTATCTTAATGACAGAGTCTACAGCAGCAAACAAGAAGACAAAACTCTCTATTATATGAAACCAGAAAATAAACTGCACTCTGAACAGTCTTGAAGTGATATGAACACAAAGAGAAGAATTTTGATTCAGGGTGAGGAGATTTTAGCATTTTTGTTGAGAGTGTGTAAGATAGGAAGAGAAATGAGAAAAAGTATGTGCTTCGTTCTTTCTCTTCTCCCGTTACATGCTCTCTCATTACATGCTCACTACTTTCTAGAGTGGAACAAGGGGAACTGGAGATAAAGAATAGCTGATAAAGAGATTTGAGACACATTTTAAATCAATTCATATACTCAGATGAGACAGTAATTAAAGTTGCCAAAAGATGAATCTGAATGCAACCATCTCTATGTTATTCGTTTACATTTTTTCTAGATTCTTTATAAGTGATTCTTTCCAAAACACATGTTATCACTATTGTGTAACTCATAGAGGACACTTATTGATGAAACAATATGTTTTTATGAATTTCTAGTTTTCCCTACTATGACAGTCAGTTTTATTTGTTGGACCATGTTGGACTTGATTGGACCATGGGATATTCATATATCTGAGCAAACATTATTCTGAGTGTTTCTGTGAGGGTGTTTTTGGATGAGATTAACATATAAATCAGTAGATGGAAAGAAGCAGATGTCCCTCCTACTGTGGGTGGGCCTCATCCAGTCAGTCGAAGGCCTGAGTAGAACAAAAGGGCCAACCCGCCCTCAAGTAAGAGAATTCTTCCTGCCTGGTGGCTTTTGAATTAGGACACTGGCTTCTTCTTGCCTTTGGACTCAATCTAAAGCATTGGCTTTTCCTGGGTCTCAAGCCTGCTGGTCTTGGACTGGAACTACACCATTAGCTCTCCTGGTTCTTGGGCCTTCAAACTTAGACTAGAACTAAATCATTGACTTTCTTTGGTCTCCAGCTTGACAAATCACCATGCATATCTTATGACTTCTCAGCCCCATAACTATATAAGCTAATTCCTTATCTTATAACAAATCTCTCTATATATACACACACATACATATATTTATATACACATATATACATATGCACACACATCCTATTAGTTCTGACTAATACACATACTATTAATACTTTGCTATTATAGACTTAGTAAAGAGTATTTGTGGTGGTGCCTTTATTAACTCCATAGCCCTCGTACAATCTATAACTCTGCTAGAATAGTAGTTCCATGAGTGCAGGTATTCTGCTCTTCAAATATGCATCCATGGTATGCCACTTGGCACATACTGGGAGTTTAATAGTTGTTGGCTCACCAGTAAATCAATGCACATTCCGTTGATTCTTCCTTGACTAAGTGTTCATACTTCACTTTCCAAAACATGTTTTACAAAAGAACTTTTTAATAACCATAATTTGAAGAAAATCAGAGGTATTTATGTCCAGAACCTTATTCCTTAGTATATTTCCATGTCTAACACAAGACCAATTTCTTCTTCCTTTTTCCTCCCTTCTCCTCTGTGCTCTCCCCACCACCACCCCAGAAATTCTAGGTGAGAATGAAAATCTAAATATTTCCTCTTTTCTTCCATACTTATATTTTGCAGCATGTATTATTTAAAGTGCAATTTTTATTGTGTTCACAATTGGAGAAGTTCTGTGAGGCAATAGTGACATTTCTGTTCTACTTCTCTTCTTTGATCCGTTCTAAGATATCTCTTTTCTAGCCTTATCACCGTATGATGTGTATTTATTGGTCTAACTTAGAAGATTAGAAAAAGGATAAAACCTTATGTTTTAGTAGTACTCTTATAGTCATTGCCCTCAAGTTAGTTTAAGAGAAATAGAATTTGTTCAAGAAATAAGAATGTTTAGGACAAGATCAGAGATGTTATAGTTTCACTTAAATTGTATTGTTTAATTTCCAGGAGTTGAGGAGTGCTGAAACAATTGGTCGTACTCTTGTATCTCCAGCTATTTCTGGGAAGGATTTTGTGAGAACTGAAGGCACATTGGTCTTTGAACCTGGCCAAAGAAACGCTGTATTAGATGTCGTCCTGACACCAGAGACAGGATCTTTAAATCCATTTCCTAAACGCTTCCAGATTGTGCTTTTTGACCCAAAAGGTGGTGCCGGAATTGATAAAGTATATGGGACTGCCAACATCACCCTTGTCTCTGACGCAGAGTCGCAGGCCGTTTGGGGGCTTGCGGATCAGCTGCACCAGCCCCTGGACGACGACATTCTCAACAGGGTGCTCCACAACATCAACATGAAAGTGGCCACGGAGAACACAGACGAACAACTCAGTGCCGTGATGCACTTAGTAGAAAAGGTAAGAAGCACTTGGTTTAGTAAAATTTCATAAATCAAAAAACCCAAACAAAACAAAAATCACATCCTAATATCAGTTAGCATGAAATTATGGTAAAGTTAAAAAATTTCTGAAAACGAGAATGGAATGCATCATGTCTGACTGTTTTTTGGCTTGGGTGTGACTGATGCCTGTTGGGAAACCTCAGTCTTAGGCTTGGAGAATGACGAGTAATCTAGGTTAGTAGTAAGGACAGCCCAGTGTCAGAAAAGAGGCTCCAGAGATCAAAAGCTACAGGCACTCGGTGATTCTCCAGAAACTGGCCAATTATCTTTGAAGTTTGAGCCTCAGTTTTTTGAGTCCCTAAAAGGAGCCTTGGACTAGATTATCTACATAGTTCTTCCACTTTAAATGCTGGGGAGCAGGAACTATTGCCCTCTGCCTGTTCTCTGCTGCTCCTGGGCACTGAAAACTTTCACAAAATAGGAGGACTAAAGAATGAACAGATGATTTTAGGCATTCAATTTGGTATGGACTTGGACCAACCAGATTTTATTTTAAAACTATTTATTTATTTATATCTCTGCCAATGATGGAATTAAATGGAAATGTAATATCCCAAGAATATAAATGAAA